CCTGGGCTGGTCCCCCTCCCCCCCCGCGTTTGTTTTTTTTCTTTTTTTTTTGGGGGTGGGCGAAGCGGTCTCTGGGACCGTGGTCTGCCAGGGGAGGGATGCCTGGGTCGTGGGATGAGGGGTTTCTCTCCGTCTGGGGTAACCGGTGGAGAGAAGCAGGGCAGGGTGGCAAAGCCGAGGGAATTTTCTTTATAAAAGGCCGGGTTAGAGCGCGGCAGGACGCTTTGTCCTCGGTGGGGCTGCGGTGGGTCAGGGAGGGGAAGTTGTGGGTCAGGATGATGCTTTCTGCAGGGTTTCGTCCTTCGAGGTGCGAGCTTTCCGCGCTTAGCGGGTCAAAAGCAGTTCCTAGGAGGTTGTGTTCTTCAGCTCGGCTGCTTACTTGAGGTGGAGGCGATGAGGCTGAGAGAAAAGAGGGGCCCGTGTGAGCTTTTCCTTGCCAGAACTACCGCGGTTGAAGCATCCTGGAGGGAAGGAGCTTCTTGGCTGTCTGGAGTTAGCAGATCTAGCCTGTTAGTTGGGATTGCAACCGGGAAGTTGGGCCCTTTGCTACCAGGTCGTAGCTTCCCGCCGCGCAGCTCTGCTGTTGCAGTCCCTCACCTTGGTTTGCTTGGCTTTTTTTCTTGAGTCTAGTCTGCTGTTAGCTTCAGTGGAGAGCTTTGGGAGGAATGGTTCACTAGAAGAAAACAGAAATCATCTCGATCGATGGTGTGAGTTATCGCAGGTAAACGCACGCGTGGCTCTGAGCGCTGGAAGGCCTTTAGCAGCAGAATTACCTGACTAATGCTGAATGTGTCGAGAGATGACTTCACAGGAGCTTTGTTTTCTGCTACCTGGGGAAACCATGGATATCTTGTGCAGGAAGGTCTTATTTTCTGGTAGAAAAAAAGGTGATTTTCGGCAGGAAAAGTCTGTGCAATGCAAAGATGCGGTCTCTGCTGACGGTAACTCACCACGTTTGCTACGGGATGTGCTTAATGGAGAGGCTTTACGCTGCTTCACCCTTGTAAACAGGGCTAGAGTGAAACACAGTCTTATCCCCAGGCCAGAAACCTGGCACTGTCCGCCTTCCCGGCAGTGGCAGGGTGTTGCCTGGGGGTGTCTGTGGTTCTGACTGTGTCAGTGGGTGTTTTGTCATTGATCTGTGGGAGCGTTGTGAATTGGAAAGGCAGCTGGAGCCTGCTTCTGCGTGGGGCTGTTGCTTTGACTAAAGGCGCTTCCTGACAGAAACACTTGTGTAGGAAATGATGTGGAGTTGTAAAGTCTTGTTTTCTACCTCGTGGGGCTGAGCTGATCACGTGGACGTGGCCGAGCACTCACAGAAATCCAGTCTTCTGTGCCTACGGCATCAAGAAGCTGATTCCTGGGGTCAGAAACTGATTCCTGGGGTCAAGAAGCTGATTCTTGTGGTCTGCCAGGAGCTTTTTTTAACCCCAACCCCCTCTCTCTGTCCGCAGGCCGTGTGTATTACTTCAACCACATCACAAATGCCAGCCAGTGGGAGCGGCCCAGCGGCAGCGGGAAGAACGGCCAAGGGGAGCCTAGCAAAGTGCGATGTTCACATCTCTTGGTGAAACACAACCAGTCCAGAAGACCCTCGTCGTGGAGGCAGGAAAAGATCACGCGGACCAAAGATGAGGCACTGGAGCTTATAAATGGCAAGTAAATGCAGGAGGGAGAGAGAGAATATGATACTGTTGAAGGGGAAAAGTCATTTTAAGGCTAGAATTGGACCCCAAGATGAGTGGTTCAGTGTGTCGTGAACTTGCTAAAGCAAAGTTTTTTAAGCCAAGTGTTTTGAACATGGACTTTTCGTGTGGCCCAGCCACTCGGAGAAACAGTTTTGCTGTACGATTAAATGATGTAAAGATAGGTCCCAGCCCATGTGTCTTCCCCTTTGTGTTTTTTTTTTGTAATGTTATTTCAGAGGTTTGTTTGTATTTTCTTTGTAAATGTGTATTATTCTATTAAAAATAAAATTATTTAAAGCTAAAACAAATGTTCTTTAAACATTTCTTTTTATTTAATGTCACTTGACTCCTTGCCCTAATAGCAACTTAGAGTAAGTTCTCATTAACCTCTGCTTGAAATCAAGTTGCTTGTAGGAGGCAATCGACCTTACATGAGGCTGTATGGATGAGCTGATCTGCTTGGGTTTTTCCCCAAAATATTCTGGCTTGTGATCAGGTCTATAAGTGAGGGCGCTGGGTGTCTTCCGCGATAGGTGGTGTTGATCTTTGCTGCCTAGATTTTTCCTTGCAGCATTGGCAGTGGAATTGAATTGATGTCATGTTTCTTCAGCATCGAGGGTTTTGATCTTATGGAAGCAAGTTCAAAGTCCAGCTGTTACTACTGGCTTTTACTTCTCAGGATAAAGAATTTGAGGGCTTGGGGTGAGGTTTAAATCAGTCCCGCTGATTAATTGATGAAACCGAGACTGTGCTTTTTAGTGGGCAGCTTTGTCTTTTCTGGCAGTGAGGTTGCAAAGGCTAGGTGATGCACTGCGAGCTGTGAACGCGCAGATATGTACCGCAGTACTGGGCCTGTGTTATCTTTTATGGCTTCAGCAATGAGGGAGGGAAGATAGGGAGGGTGTTTTGACTATTGCCTCAGTCCTAACCAGCAATAAATCTAAGGACTTTCTTGTTTGGAAGGCCTGGGAGGGGAGATTTTTTTGCTAAATAACTTGAAGCACCGAGGTGGTGACCAGCAGGTGGTATCTGCTCACCACCTTTTGGAAGGGGAGGTTAAATTAACTGGCACAGATGGGAATTTTTTTAGGGAATTGTCTCCTTCAGGTTAGGGTGGCTGAGAAAGTGTGACTGGAGGTGATAAAGCAGGATGCATGCCGAGTGTGGAGATCTGTGCCAAGGGAGTTGAGACTGTTGCAAAGATAGATTGAAATATTTCAGCCAAGCTGCAAATTCTCTCTCTTTCTCTCCCCTCTTTTTTTTTTTTTTTTTTTTTTCTTTTTAAAAAGAATAAAACTATTCTAGAGCCATCTCTTGGAGTGACATTCATCAAAAGGCCAGCGCAGAGCTTTCTGCAGATCAGCGGTTAAATGACGCATGATGCTGGCGTGTTTTAAGCAGGCATTGATGAACTTGGATCTTTGTAAGGGGGAATCACTTACATTTTAGAAGGGAAAGTTGTCTTGTTATCTCTAAAGAGGTATTTCAGGAGCTTGTAACCAGGTAGACTTTTTGATACATAGATGTTCTGTAAACTGATTATCTTTAGAAGCCGGAATAACATTATTTGGACTCAACAATTGTCATCATTCATTGTTTGGGTGCTTTTCTTTGAGATACCGCAGTTCTTTGCTACCTGGTAAGGTGAGGGAAAGAAACAGCTTAAACTTTCCGTGGCTCGAAAGAATGA